CAGAGCCCAGATTGTGGGGTGTTATATAACTGTCCTTTGTTCACGAACCTGGCTCAGTGCACTGCTGACCTCTTTTCAATAGGGGCCAGATTAGCGTGCAGCGGTGCTGTGTGGCTCATCGCTGCAGTGGTGGGGCGCTTTTGTCCCCGGTGCTAATCCGCTCGTCCCAATGCCCCAAACCCTGGTATAGGGTTTCAAAACAAGGCTGGATTATCACCACTTTTGAGAGTGAAAAATGCCGGTAATGCCCAGCAGCCTAGTCTTTTGTTCGGAGTACGGTCTTTTGTTACAGGGCCCTGTTTCCTTTGTCCGAGTTCGGAGACCCCGGCCACCCACATAAACCATACGTCTCCGAACCCGGAGTCCCCGGCAGGAAGTGGTTAATATTCAGGTAAACGGTTGGCCAGCTTGCCAAGATTCTAAAACCTTGTGCATGCCCAGTGTGGAAAGTATGGGGTAACCATGCCCCTTTTTTTCCACAAGCTACCGCAATTCTGGTACGTGCACATTCGCTTTGTTGGTGTTACCGTTCAACTTTGATCTCTTAGCTCGGGATAAGGTGAGTGAGTAATAAACATGGCAAGAGTTGTTCGTGTATGCCCAACATGGCACTATGGCGGCCAGTGTGGCCTGATGTTTATTCGACAAGCAACTAAAGTTCTGATGTACAATGAACCCTTCTGGAGGTATGCTAAACTTCGCTTAGTTAACTTGGTGAATGGTGGGCAAGACAATGTGCAAATGATTTGCCCCCCCTCCTGATAAGAATATGCTTTGGAAAGAACATGTTAATTTGGTATGTAATAAAATTTTGAGGGCTAACTATATAATTAACAGGACCAAGAAACTATTGAGACAGAGAGACAGTTTGGCCATTTATAATACACTTTTTAATTTATATTTAAATTACGGTATTTTTGCCTGCGGAGACATGATTAAGGTTTATACCTCCTTCTATTCAAGGCTTATCAATTTACAAATAAAATGTATTCATACTGCTTGTCATGCCACTTATAAGTCCCATACGACACCTCTAAACATACTATTCAGAAGATAGAAGATATTTACAATTTGCAAATTGTAATGCATTGCTTTGATTATGTTAATAATTTGCTCTCTGAAAATCTCAATAATCCAAGCCTTCTCCTCTTAAACGGTGAACTTCGTTCTGTCAGTACAAGATGAGATAGGTCTCTCCATTATAATATTTGCAGAGTTGGTGTTGCTTCCTCAAATTATTGTAGCATTCTTCCAAAAATTGTCAATTCACTTCCGACTAGTTTTTGAAGATATCTTACAAGCTTCTAAAGGGAGCGTTTAATTATTTATTTGAAAGAGTATTATCTAAATAAACGTAAAGATTTTGTCTATACCAAGTTCAACTGTTACACATGTCAAAAAGACACAGGACACAAATAAGTTAATTCTCTTTTTTAATACACATGCCCGGTATCTTTTTTCTTTTTGTGTAATTCACAACTGTGCTTAAGTCTATTTAATGTGAAACATTATATTAATTAACTGCATCATTAAACAGCAGTCTGGGCTCTGTTATAGGAGTAATCTACCTCATCTGGATGTCATTCCTACTTTGCACCTACGTTTTTTAAACAAGTTATAACTTAAAGAACTTTACCAATATACTTTATCAGTGTAAATGCAGCAAATTACACAATAAATGGAATCACCAGACAGACTTACCTCTAGTAATCTCTCGAGCGTTGGAGCCAGATGTCCTATATCAGATGGTCTGAGTGCACTGCAGGCAAGTAGATCAAATCTTACTGATTCACAGCCTTGTTTACAAAATGCAGTTACCAGTGATTTGAAGAAAATCACAACAGCATTCTGTTCCACAATGTTGCTGGGTGTAAGCATCTGAAATTGACAATCCAATCAGATTTATTTTATAAATTGGACTAAATTATTTCAACAGATAATTTTCAAATAGAAATTTCAATAGAAGATTTTCAATCTATAGCTATATAAAAAAGCTAGACATTGTTAAATCCAGAGGGTCGTTTCTTTTAAGAATGTGGTTTTTAGATTTGCATTTGGGTCAATTAGTAACTAAAACATACACATGTTTTAAACATAAAAAAAAGCTTTTCCAAATTCCTTGTCTTGAAAAATAAAGCACTCATTCATTTTAGATGCATGTACATTTCAATTACACATACACCAGAGCTACAAATTAGGACAGGTAAAACAAAAAACTTACAATTATATAATAAATTTCAAAAACTAGACAGAAAACCTTGAAACGTCTTTGAGATGAAAAAAAAAATCAGTGGTGCAATGGCCTGAAATATGAACCAAGCTCTCAGAGTCTGCAACCTAGCATCTCACCCATTGGACCGCGTGCTGAACTGTTTCAACAACTGTGAAATTGTTGGCCTAGTTTGTAACAAATTTTAAAAAGCAGCATGTAAACGTACCATGAAAAAGCCACGCCAACATGCTTACACGTATGTCACCCTTTTAGTTACTAAAAAATATCACCCAGAGTAAGTAATGTCAGTTCGTCTCTGTTTATTAGCTTGAGTTTTATTATGCTATCTTTAAACCTACCATATAAGCTGGTTGGCATATGGTTAACATACAATTACTAAAGAATGGGAAGTCCAGGTACACTGCTTACCTGACCTCAACTTCTGTAAATCTGAAATTTGATTGGCCTAGTTTTCAAGCATGCATGAACACAAGTACTTCAATGTCTGTTTTAACCACTACCAGCCGGGGACTCCGAAATCGGAGCCGTATGGTTTATATGTGTGGCT